GTGTGGATGGGGGTGAAGGGCGGGAGGGTGGTGAAAGGAAGGGGGGAGGGAGGGGATGAAATGGTGGGGATGTCAACTTGAATTTTTAGGTACGTATGTAAATACATATGGTAGGTGGGTAGGTAGATAGGTAGGTAGGTAGGTACGCAGGTAGTTATAGGTAGGCAGGTAGGTAGGTAGGTAGGTAGGTAGGCAGGTAGGTAGGTATCAATATTATATACATCTTCAGTGAAATGATCGTTGAATTCCAATTTTTTAGGCTTTGGTAGACGTGGTCAATTCAGTCTGCAGTTTTGGAGAGAGTGCCAAGTCTCTCGGGTCGACAAGTAAAGCTCTAAATTAAGCTATTAAGTTAGGGTCGTAGCGTAGGCTAAGCCCTCACCTGCCAACCAAATAGACCGGAGGCTCTCAAGTTAAACTATTAGTATCCGAGCTCGTAAGTTGAACTCGTAAGTTAAGGTCGTAAGTTAGGGTCGTAAACGTAGGCTAGGAGCTCACCTGTCAACCAAATCGACCAGATGTTTTTAAGTTAAACTATTAATTTGAGCTCGTTAGTTCAGTTTGCAAGTTAAGCTCGTAAGTAGAGTTCGTAAGTTAGGGTCGTAAGTTAGGGCCGTAGGTGTAGACCAATGAACTTGCCTGTTAGCCAAGTCTCAGGTTGACAAGTTTAGGTCGTAAGTTAAGGTCGTAAGTTAAGGTCGTAAGTTAAGGTCGTACGTTAAGCTCGTAAGTAAAGCTTGTAAGTAGAGTCGTAAGTTAGGTTAGTAAGTTAGAGTCGTAAGCATAGGCTAAGTCCTCACCTGTCGAACAAATCGACCAGAGGTTCTTAATAAACTATTAAGTTGAGCTCATAAGTTGCGTTCGTAAGTTGAGCTCGTAAGTTAAGCTCGTAAGTTGAGTTCGTAAGTTAGGGCCGTAGGTGTAGACCAATGAACTTGCCTCTCAGCCAAAGTCTCTCAAATTTACAAGCTTAGGTCGTAATTAAGTTAAGATCGTAAGTTAAGGTCGTAAGCGTTGGTCGTAAGAAGAGGATCTTAATTTTAAAAAATAATATTTGAACTCATAAGTTGAGCTTGTAAGTTAGAGTCGTAGGTTAGGTTTAGGGTCGTAAGTTAAGGGTCGTAAGTAAAGGTCGTAAGCGGAGGCTACGTCCTCACCTGCCGGCCAAGTCGACCAGGTTGATGACAGCGGACTTGGTGGTGTCCTCACCGGCGGCATTCTGGAACTTCTGGAGGAAGGTGATACCCACGATGGTGTGTGCTCGGCTACAGGGATGGGTTTTGGGGGGAGGGGGGTTTGGTGCTGTTGTTTTTCTTGT